GGGAAAAAAAAAAAAAAATCATTCTTGAGGTTTTTTTTAACCTAAAAGGCAACAAAGCTTTCATTTTCGGTGATTTGTATTTTCCTAGCATCATGCATGGGAGTTATGAAACACACCCTGACCTCATTGTACATTACCTTGGCTATTCATGCTGCCATGCTCTTCGCCCATAGCCAAGCAAACTGAACTCCTTCTTCATTGGTATTGCTGCCTGGGATCTGCTTATGCCTAACTTCCAGAGAGAAGCGGGTTTCTGAAAATAAGATCTTCTTTATAAGCAAATACATGGTTTAAACACTTCAAAATCAAAATAGTTTAGTGATATCCTAGGTCCCAAAAGTAGGTTGATTTTAATTTTCAATTAAAATTATTATCTTTTTCATATAAATACTCATTAAATTGATTGGGGTGACACTGGTCAACATGAACATGTAGGTTTCAGGTGTGGGTTTCTATGTTCCAAGATCTGTATATTGTACCGTGTGCCCATAACCCAAAGTCAGATCTTCCCCTGTCACCTCATGTTAGAACCCCCTTCTCCCCCACCTACTTCCCTCTGGCAGTTACCGCACTGCTGTCTGTGTTCTCGAGTTTCAGTTTTGTATCCAACATATGAGTGAGATCATATAGTTCTTAGCTTTTTCTGATTGATTTCACTTAGCATAATGTTCTCAAGGTCCATCCATATTGCTGCAAATGGTTAACTGTATTATCTTATGGATGTAACCCAAAAGTTCCTAATGCTTTTGTTTTAATATGATTTTGTTAAAAAATCAACTGTTTTTAAAATCTAATAAGTTATGCCACAATTATGGATCACTGATAATAATACATTATAATGGTATTTCATAAATTTGTCTTTTAGGTTTCACAAATATGTTTTAGAAGAAAGACACTAACTGGATGCTGAAATACAGTTTTTATTACATACCATTTAGTATTACTTTGTCACAGTTTTATAGATTAGAAACCATAAAGAGAAGTTCACTAATTCAGCTAGTGTTTATTAAACACCTATTATGTGCTCTGTCCTGGCCAGCTATTTATGTTACATATAGCTGAGAACAAAGCTTTTAGGCTGGAGTATGTATTAATGTGCTTGGATTTTAAACACTTTAGGGAGTTCCTTTATCCTAAGTAAAATAACTGTCTTAAGTAAATAAACTACCAATTTAATTATTGCTTCATGATTTTAGAATTCAACAGAATTTTATTTAATCCTTTAAAATTTACACAAGGTTCTTTCTTCCTTGGTAAACTAAACTCTTGTATTTCATAGGGAAAAATTAACCTCAGCCTTTCTTACTTTCATACTTTATCTCCAATCAAGACCTGTGTCTTTCCTTCTATTAACAAATTCCTAACCTTTAGTATCAGCCAAGTCATCTTCTATGAATTTTGTAATTAACCTGTTGTGGACATTCCTGAGCTGGCTTAATTTTATGGGACAAGCAATTTACAAATGACTAAGTTAACCCCTCATTATGCTTGAAAGAAATAGGCTAATTGTTTCTTTACTTGCCCTGTGTTAATCACGGATCATTAGTGATAATAAATAAAAATAGGCCATTAACAAATTAGATTATGCTCATACTTACCTATGTTTGTGTTTGTCCTGTGTCCTTGGAGCCAGCCCAGTCACCAACTTCATTTAGTAGCATAACTCACCCAGACACAGCCTTAGGAGTCAAAGTATAACTGAAGGCCAGTTTATGAATTTGTTCGTTATTCTTTCCTCCTGTAAAGATTGTTCAACATTTGGTTAATTATTACATGCGAATATATGTATCTACTTAGAGGCAAATCCACAGATATACAAAACCTTATAAAGCATAAACCTTATAAAAAACTAATTTGGAGGACAGTTATTCGTATTATTAAAGACTTTTAATTTGAAAATTATTTGTCTTATCTTTATAAATTTTTCTAGTTTATTTGAAATATGACTTGATTTACAAAATGTGAATTCACTTCATTTGTCCAGTGTAAACCTTTATATAACAGGATATATTTCTGGTTTACATTGTATGTATGCGTGTGTATTTATGTATGTGTGTGGGTATTTGATATCTGAGACCTCAATAAAATTACTATTCTTAAAAATTCACTTATTTTAACAAAGGAAATAGTAGTTGATTCCTTATAATATCAAAAGATATTTCAAAGAAATAGAAGACAAATTTGGCCTCAATGAGATGATAAAGTTTTCTATTTTGTTTTTCTTTTGCTTATTAGGAGAGACAGAAAATGAGCAGAGATTGGCAGCAAGAGGTAAAACTTCAGAAGTAGAAGGCAACGAACCGGTAAGTGAAACCCCCTATGAGTCCTTTCGGGGTGAAACGAGTCACGGTGACTATATATTTCTCTGAGGATGAGCAATCACTTCTACTCTTGCTATGCAGACTGGTGTCTAGGGACCAAGAAACAAGTCATCTGCTCTAATTCAGAGATGACAATAAAGCGTGACTTCCCAAGTGCTAAGCTTTCCTTGTGTTGGAAATAGAAACTTCCTGCTCAAAGGAGAAATAGAGCACTCAGGTTAAAACATCTGAACTATTTTTAACTGATTGGTTATTTTCTAATACATTTGAATAAATTGATAATGTGTGAACCTATAGGGGAAGGTTTGCAAATAACCTATTGGGAACTATATTACATTACCATTTCCAGCATCAAAATGCAGTCCTTGACGTTCTGTAGGGTATTTGTTCTTTTCCACATGAAAAAGCTATTTGCTCCTTGAGAGTTCTTGAAAATGTCATCAGGACACTTTGGTGTACTATGTAGAAACGTACTAATTTTATTTAATCACTGAAATAATGTTTAAGACTTAGGGGGAATGTTAATTTTTAGGGCAGAAGGGATATCTATGAGTTTTGAAACTTTCTACATGGTGACATACCTCTACTTACTTTCTACTGTAGCGCATAAGGGTATTGCTGTATACAATGGAGTGGGGTCAGGGGCCTGGCCTGTTTGCTTCATCTCCATATCCCCAAAGCCTAGCAGAGAGTAGACAGTCAAGATTTGTTGAACGAATACATGAATGAATACAATCATGAATTGTAAGTAGCCAGTAATATGTGTTTTAAGAAGAGATATTTTTATTTTTTTATATTCAGATTTTCCATAATGAATGAATCTTTTATAATCAAGAAGAACTTATTTTAAGAGAGATGTAGGGAGGAAATTTATGCAGAGGAAGAAAAGTGTCGTCTTTCCCATAAAACTGCATTAGTTTTTCATTCATGTGTACAACAAATATTTATTAAGCACTATCTTCAAGGCACCGTATAGGGCAGTGATGACGAACCTTTTGAGCTCGGCGTGTCAGCATTTTGAAAAACCCTAACTTAACTCTGGTGCCGTGTCACATATAGAAATGTTTTGATATTTGCAACCATAGTAAAACAAAGATTTATATTTTTGATATTTATTTTATCTATTTAAATACCATTTAACAAAGAAAAATCAACCAAAAAAATGAGTTCGCGTGTCACCTCTGACACGCGTGTCATAGGTTCGCCATCACTGGTATAAGGAGTATACAGTGGTGAAAAAACACAGATACAAGGACAAAGAAATAGGTTCCATCTATACATTGAAGTAGCTTGATCTCTTTCATGTATTCAAACATTTTGTGACTACTGACCATAGTAGCATCTTTGATGGGAAATAAAGGTTGGTGTATTTGAACTTTGGGAAAGAACCACCAGAATGGTTTAGAAATCATCCATAATTATTGAGTTTAATTGCCAAGTTATGGGATTCACTGGAAATGTCTGAAGTACTTGGTTAACTTTCAAAGTTGATTCATTGATGGAAAGAATTCCAAGGTTAATAACTCTTAAAGGAAGAAACTTTAGAGATTATGATCCTCCCATGCTCATTATTGTGCTGTTTTCTAGTCTATTATACAACCAGTCCTTAAAGAGTGGTATACTCATGCTGTAAAAGATATTTCAGAAGTGTCTTCTATTTGAGTGGCGGCTGGACATTCAGAGGGTCGTGTTTGCTATCAGAGAGCTTACTTATGTAGCAAAAAGTAATGGGGAGACTGCAAATGAGACCACAGGGGTAAATCCAGTACAAGAGGCTAATAATAAAGTCCTTTAGAGTCTGTGTGTGATTTGCCACAGAAAAGCCAAATAATCATTTACCTCAACCTTCAGTGTCTAAAATGGAATTCATTCCTCTCCTTTAAAGACCCCAAAACAAAAACATTGCTTCATGCTCCCTACTGTCGCCCCATCCCACAGTCTCCCTTGATCAGTCAAGGTAAATCTTATCCAGTCTCATGGTGTAACATCTATGTAGCCCTGGCCTGTTTTTCTCAGTGGTTAGAGCACCAGCCATGGACTGAAGGTTTGCAGATTCCATTCTGGTCAAGGGCACATACCTTGGTTGCAGGCTAGATCGCCAGCCCCTGTCGAGGCACATGCTAGAGACAACCAATGGATGTGTCTCTCTCCCATCGATGTTTTTTTCTATCTCTCCCCCTCCCTTCCACTCTCTCTATAAATCAATGGGAAAATATCCTTGGATGAGGATTAACAATGAAAAATAAACTAAATAAAAATATTTTTAGTTAGAGGCTGATGACTGCCAAAGTCTATCTGCACCTAGACCTATCTCCTGAACCCTACACTGTGTCCAACTGCCTACCTGCTGTTTCCCTTACAAGTTTCTAGATCATTCAGCCTTTACTTGACTAGAGAAGAATGGTTGATTCTTGGCCCTGCCACCTTGAGCTTCTGTCTGCTTAACTTCCCACTAACTCTGTTGAATATCACCATCCTCCCCATAGTGGGTTAGAATCCAGACCCCTGAGGTTCCTGTCTTTCCCTCACACTCCACAGCCAGTCCATCAGGAAGCCTGTCACCTCCCCCTCTATGCCCAGAATCTGACATCTGACCCCTTCTCAACATGGTACTGTTAGAACCAAGTCTAAGCCTCCACTTTCTCCAGGACTCTCTGCCTTCATTCTTCCCCCTTAAGTCCATTCTCCACACAGCAGACAGAAATATAAATCAGATCACATCCTTCCTGCTGGCTGAGCTGCTGACTGTGGCTGCACGGAATTCTCTGTGCGCTGCAGTCTCATTTTCCTCTGCACCCTGCAAGCCCCACCCCATCCCCAGCTGCCTTTCTGTCCCTTGACCACCTAAGCTCTTTCCCACCCCAGCCTCTGCATTTGCTCTCCCTTCTTTATCACAGCTTCACTAGGCTGCCTCCTTATCCAGGTCTTCGTTCAGGTGTCACTTGTCATGACTGTCTCAGCTAACGTGCCCTTCGCCCGTCACTCTCACATAACCCTCTTTTCTCCAGCCTGTTGATCACCGTCTCAGATTATTCATTTGCTTACTGTCCGCCTCCCCTGAATACAATGAAAACAGACCTCGTGTGCCTCAAACAGTGTCTGTACATAGAAGGTGCACAATAAATACACATTAACTGGCAATCTATATTTTATTTAATGTCATCATCTGTCTGCCAAGTTCAAGGCCTAAAATGACCATTTTGACTCATCAAATCTATCATCAAGTCCTGTTGAAGCTCTCTCTCAAATATCTTCCAAATCTGCTTCCTCATACTCCGACTAGATCCTCATCTGTTCGCCAAACTGTTGTTAGACAAGCAGTTTCCTACCCAAACCTAGCAAGTTGTGTTACTTCTGACCCCCCAAATGTATTGAAATCTGCAGAATAAAGCTTAACCCTAAAACCCTGTTCAAATGGCACCTCCTTTGTGAGCTCTTTTCCCTGCTCCCTCAGCCAGAGATGACTACAAGGTCCTGCTGCCACTCGTGCTGTCGGGAAGGCGGAGAGTACACCTTCATTAGCTCATGACCTCAGCCACGAAGGAACTGTCCCGCCTTGGTGTGACACAGTCCCTGCCAATGATTTCTGGGTGGATAAATGAACAAATAAGTGGCCCCCCTGCAAGTGCTGTCTTATGAGCAGATCTCTTCCTTAAATTCTGTTTCCACCTTCTATTTTAAACACACAATTGTTTTTTCCTCTCTGTAAACAATAATTATATTTCTTAGGCGTTACCCATTTAAAAAATCTGTTGATTTACACTATTTTGGGCACTCTTACAACACCAGCAAGGAAAAGTGTCATGATTTCAGTTAGTTTTTTTTTTAAAGATATACATCTGATTAAGAAGTGATTCTTGTACCTAGCAGGAAAGATTCTCATTGTTTTAATTTTTAATGGCTGTACAGGAAATGTTGAGATATTATTTAGTATGAGAACATATGTGGTAAGTTAGTATGGATTCTGTAAGGCTTAAAACTAACACTCTTAGTTGTCAAAATAGAACTCATTTTTTCTAAGGACGCTTTGAAAGTGGCTTTTAGTTTAACAAAGTAAGGTTTTTGGAGAATTCAGACACACATGTAGATTGTGTGTCTTACTTACTATTTTCAGGGAATTGTTAGACATGGGGTGGAGAGGACAGAGATATATAAGGCTCTGTGACTCCCACTTATGGAAGCAGACATTTTCTATCCATGGATAATTAAAAAACTCTACAAGTCACAATAATATAAAGTGGAATAAAATAACTGATATTTCAAAGGAGGAAGAAATATCATTACTGAGAGAGAAGAAAGGCTTCGTGCATGATGTATTTTGAATCATGACAATTTTTTATTATTTATACAATCAATTTTTATATTACTAAGATAGATTTTTTGTGAAATAAAATTCTTCATGAAGAACATTTGAAAAACACACAAGCAAATCATGGTATGTAACTTCCTTTTCGATGACAGATAATAAAGGGTTAAAGAAATATAATGTGTCTGCACTACACTGTAGTTTTTTTAATGGAAGTTAAAATATTTTGTTAAGTAGTCTGTGATATTTTCCCTTACACTTTGCAGCCCAGGTACACTTCAAAACTGTGTTCCCTCTCCAAGTACAGCTCTCTCACCGACATCATGGAAATTGTAACATCTAGGTGGAATATAATTTGAAAAAAGGAGATCCAGTTTAGGCATCAAATACATTAATTTTTAGAGTTGAATTATGAGATATTTTAATACCTTTACACAAAAGACTATGAAAAGCAGCATATTTATTTGCATTGGGTACTGAGTGGGACTTTTTACTTTGTGAAACTAAAAATAATGCAGCTTTCATTCCAGAAAATTATTTCTCAGTTTCTCTTCTTCACTCCCCCTTGCAGTTTTTCTCAATGATGACTTAAATTAGTTACTACTGTTTTTGCTTTACTGTTCCCTATATATGATTCCAAAGTATTACCATCTAAAATAGGATAACGTAGGGAAAC